CATCTGCTAGAGGGGAGGGGGGGAGATGACTGCATTTTTCAGTGTTAGAGCGTTTTTAGTCTTCATGCACACTGGATGTTTTTTACAGCGGCTATTTTTGGCTTCTGGTGTTTTTTTCTACAGCCAGTAAACTCCCCAGCACAGGTGCGGACTGACCATTTGGAAACTCGGGCACTGCCCGAGGGCCCGGCAGCAGTAGGGGGCCCCATGAGATGCCCCTAGTACCTTTTTCATATGCTTTTTTGAGTTTGGGCAAGGACACAGGGGCCCCATAATCCCCTATTGCCCGGGGGCCCCATGAGTTGTCAGTCCGCCCCTGCCCCAGCATGTTATCCTGTGTCCATGCACACACAAGCTTAATCAGAATTTTTTGTCAGGAGCCAACTGGAAAGAAATCCCCCAGAACTAGTGGGTTTCTAGAGGAGTTTTTTAGCTGTAAAAACACAATAATGCTGATAAATGCAGTAAAACACGGTAAAAACATGGCAAACCAGAGTTTTGGACTTTTTTTAGAAAAAAAATTAATTTTGGGGGGTAAAAAAACGCTGAAAACGCAAACGCGGAAAAATGTGGCAAAACACAGCTAAACGCTAATGCAAAATCCCTGAAAAACGTATGTTTTTAACGTGACTTTACACAGCTAACGCTACCAGTGTTGTTAAAATGCTCAGTGTGCATGGAGTCTTACTTGAAACCAAGAAAAAGGAAGGGGAACCTCCCCAAATTAAGGAGAGGCAGTGGGATTTTTAAGGTGCCATCAACAATAAACACAACAAAAAACTAAAATGAAAAATTTTTTTATTGATCCATATCTTGATCTTTTATTTGTACCTGGTGAAAACATGGAGATGTGAACATGTCCCATAGGACATCATGTTAAATGGACTGTAGAGCATTTCTGCAAAGTGCTGCGGAAAATGCTTAGGTGTGAATCTAGGGTTAGACTTGTGACAAAGTTTGATCACTGGAGAAGAGGAGACTGAAGAACTTCTTCTTCCTTTCTACAGCAGACTGATCATCTCAGGCTAGGCAAAGTATTGAAGCCTAGGGGCTCCTCTGTACTAATAAAAAATGAAGCATTTTTTAAAGTTAAAAAAAAAATATATATATATTTTATATAGTGTGTGCCATTTGTGGTACTGATGTTGGACGAGAAGTTCTGGCCAAAACTTGGTATATCATTTCATTCCAAAAGTGTTCAGTAGGGTTGAAGTCAGGGATCTGTATAGGCCAATTTAGTTCCTCAACAGCAAGTTCATCAGACCATCTTCATTATAGAGCTGCCTTTCTATTCCATCATGCTGGAACAGAAACGGGTCTTCTCCAAATTGCTATACAAGGCTGGAAGCCACCATAGTCTAAAATGTTTTTTTGTGATGTAGCTCCAATGATAACCTTCACAGGATACACCTGAACACAATAATTTATTATCATTTTGGCCAATAATGTAGATGTGATGGGCAGGTGTCGACATTGTGGCCATATAGTACACATATTTTTCAGTTGGATGCCTCATTTGAATTTAGAAAACCCAACAAGGTTAGAGGAACAAAGAGAAGTTCACAGAGAAAATTCCCCCAACAAGGTTAGAGGAACCATGAGAAGTTCACAGAGAAAATTCCCCCAACAAGGTTAGAGGAACCAAGAGAAGTTCACAGAGAGAATTCCCCCAACAAGGTTAGAGGAACCAAGAGAAGTTCACAGAGAGAATTCCCCCAACAAGGTTAGAGGAACCAAAAGAAGTTCACAGAGAGAATTCCCCCAACAAGGTTAGAGGAACCAAGAGAAGTTCACAGAGAGAATTCCCCCAACACGGTTAGAGGAACCAAGGGAATTTCACACAGAGAATTCCCCCAACAAGGTTAGAGGAACCAAGAGAAGTTCACAGAGAGATTTCCCCCAAACAAGGTTAGAGGAACCAAGAGAAGTTCACAGAGAAAATTCCCCCAACAAGGTTAGAGGAACCATGAGAAGTTCACAGAGAAAATTCCCCCAACAAGGTTAGAGGAACCAAGAGAAGTTCACAGAGAGAATTCCCCCAACAAGGTTAGAGGAACCAAGAGAAGTTCACAGAGAGAATTCCCCCAACAAGGTTAGAGGAACCAAAGAAGTTCACAGAGAGAATCCCCCAACAAGGTTAGAGGAACCAAGAGAAGTTCACAGAGAGAATTCCCCCAATACGGTTAGAGGAACCAAGGGAATTTCACACAGAGAATTCCCCCAACAAGGTTAGAGGAACCAAGAGAAGTTCACAGAGAGATTTCCCCCAAACAAGGTTAGAGGAACCAAGAGAAGTTAACAGAGAATTCTCCCAACTAGGTTAGAGGAACCAAGAGAAGTTCACAGAGAGAATTCCCCCAACACGGTTAGAGGAACCAAGGGCAGTTCACAGAGATAATTCCCCCAACAAGGTTAGAGGAACCAAAGAGAAGTGCACAGAGAGAATTCTCCCAACAAGGTTAGAGGAACCAAGAGGAGTTCACAGAGAGAATTCCCCCAACAAGGTTAGAGGAACCAAGAGAAGTGCACAGAGAGAATTCCCCCAACAAGGTTAGAGGAACCAAGAGAAGTTCACAGAGATAATTCCACCAACAAGGTTAGAGGAACCAAGGGAATTTCACAGAGAGAATTCCCCCAACAAGGTTAGAGGAACCATGAGAAGTTCACAGAGAGAATTCCCCCAACACGGTTAGAGGAACCAAGGGAAGTTCACAGAGATAATTCCCCCAACAAGGTTAGAGGAACCAAGAGAAGTGCACAGAGAGAATTCTCCCAACAAGGTTAGAGGAACCAAGAGGAGTTCACACAGAGAGAATTCCCCCAACAAGGTTAGAGGAACCATGAGAAGTGCACAGAGAGAATTCCCCCAACAAGGTTAGAGGAACCAAGAGAAGTTCACATAGAGAATTCCACCAACAAGGTTAGAAGAACCAAGAGAAGTTCACAGAGCGAATTCCACCAACAAGGTTAGAGGAACCAAGAGAAGTTCACAGAGCGAATTCCACCAACAAGGTTAGAGGAACCAAGGGTAGTTCACAGAGATAATTCCCCCAACAAGGTTAGAGGAACCAAGAGAAGTTCACAGAGAATTCCCCCATTTCCAAAGTTAGTGAAGGCCAGCCTTTAGTTTCCCCACAGACTTTTTATGATGTAGCATTAATGGTACACTTCACCGGATACACATGGGCTCAATAACTTAATATCATTTTGGACATTAGTGATGGGCAGGTGTTGACAAACATTTGGCTATATAGTATACATATTTCTCAGTTGGATGTCTCATATGAATTTACAAGGCCCAACAAGGTTAGAGGAACCAAGAGAGAAGTTCACAGAGAGACTTCTTCCATTCTCCGAATAGTGAAGACCAGCCTCTAGTTGCCCCACAGGTTTGAAAAACCTTAAAAACCACAAGAAGATACCTAACACTATAAATATGATGGCTACATCATTTACGAGTGCATTTATCTTTTTATATAATAACAGTAATATTGTAACAGTATACTTTCAGATGTAATCTTTAACAGATTCTCAAGGAAGTTCCAAAGTTTCAAACTAGTTTTGAAGTATGTTTGGGGTCATTACCATATTTAGAACTGATCAGCTTAAGCTAGCCTGTTCATTCTCCCCCAGAATAATAATATCATCTTCCTTTTGAGCCATAACAATAAAAGAAACTTGGTTTTCCGAGAAAATGACACTTCAAGTATTCTTATCCTAAAATCTTGCCTATATTATTCTAGCACTTATACATGTAATTTGATTTCATGATTGGAGATGTGGATAGCAATTCTATGTTCTCTGCAGAAAATCATTATTCCAGATGGGATATACTGAATATTAAAGACTTTTTTTTTAGGGAGAGGGAAGGGATTTCAAAGGTTTCTACCTGGGTGTACTGGGTAACCATATGCAAATGAGATTCCACAACCACTGTAAAATAGAGTTGAGAAAAATAGCATGAAAAGACAGACTGAACCTGATTTACAATATGCTTTATGTAAAAGAAAATTTGATGAAAAAAGTTCAATCTAGACAGCAAAAGCAGATCTCCAAAATGCATCTCTGGTGTCATGTTTGTTTTGTTTTTTTTTTGTGGGTTTTTTTTTTAAATGGGCATCAACTGTGGATAGAACATGTGTGAGTGCATTTCCAAGACGTCCCTATATTTTGCTGAGAGATAAAAAGGTAAATGCAAAACAGGAATCAGGTAATGTGAATATGGACCTATCCTTAGGCAGACTTCTAGTATCTCTCATCAGCTGAGGGTTAATGAGTCTTCTCAGGCACCTAGCTGATCCCATCAGCTCTGAGATAATGAGTCTGACCACCCATTCCCTTGCTGGATAGGACTTCAGAACTGGAGGCATCTTCAAGTCTAGACACCCTTTCACCCCCTTCCTGTCCAGTCAATTTTCAGCTTTCAGCACTGTCGAACTTTGAATGACAATTGTGCAGTCATGCAACACTGTGTCCAACTGAAATGCGTATCATTTTTTTTCCACACAAATACAGTTTTATTTTTTTGCTATATAAATTTAAAAAGAAAAAAATTAAAACAAAAAACTTTTGGCTTATTTTTGTTATAAAATGTTGCAAAGAAATAATCTTTCTTCATAAATTTGGGCCAAAACTTATTTTTCTACTTTTTTTAGTAAAAATAACTCAAAACAGTGTATATTATTTAGTCTGTGTGAAAGTTATAGCGTCTACAAACTGTGGGATATATATCTGGAAATTGATCAGTTGATACCCTAAATTGCCAGACACTGGTATGATGTATGGTGGTGATCAAGACGCTGGTATTGCAGTGATTAGGACATTGGTGCAGTGTATGGTAGTGATCCGGTCAGTGGTAGGACATATGGGGTGATCAGAACACTGGTATAGGGGTGATCAGGATGCTGGTATGGCATATGGGGTGGTCAGAACTCTGGTATGGGCTATGGAGGTCATCAGGATGTTGATATGGTAAATGGAGTGAACATGATTCTGATATGGGGGTATGGCAGTGATCAGGGTGCTGGTATGGGGTAAGTCTCTGATAAGGGCACTGGTATGGTGTATGGTGGTGATCAGGATGCTGGTATGGCATATGGGGTGGTCAGAACTCTGGTATGTGCTATGGAGGTGATCAGGATGTTGATATGGGATATGGCGGTGATCAGGTTGCTAGTATGGAGTATGGTGGTGATCAGGATGCTGGTATGGGATATGGCAGTGATCAGGGCACTGGTATGATGTATGGTGGTGATCAATACGCTGGTATTGCAGTGATTAGGACATTGGTGCAGTGTATGGTAGTGATCCGGTCAGTGGTAGGACATATGGGGTGATCAGAACACTGGTATGGGATGATCAGGATGCTGGAATGGCATATGGGGTGGTCAGAAGTCAGGTATGGGCTATGGAGGTCATCAGGATGTTGATATGGTAAATGGAGTGAACATGATTCTGGTATGGGGGTATATGGCAGTGATCAGGGCACTGGTATGGGGTAATACTGTGATCAGGGCACTGGTATGGGGTAAGACTGTGATCAGGGCACTGGTATGGCGGTGATCAGGATGCTGGTATGGGGGTATAGCAGTGACCAGGGTGCTGGTATGGGGTAAGTCTCTGATCAGGGCACTGGTATGGTGCATGGTGGTGATCAGGATGCTGGTATGGCAAATGGGGTGGTCAGAACTCTGGTATGTGCTATGGAGGTGATCAGGATGTTGATATGGTATATGGGGTGATCAGGATACTAGTATGGGGTATGGCGGTGATCAGGATGCTGGTATGGGGGTATGGCAGTGATCAGGGCACTGGTATGGTGTATGGTGGTGATCAGGATGCTGATATGGCAGTGATCAGGGCACTGGTATGGAGTATGGCGGTGATCAGGACGCTGGTATGGGGTATGGTGGTGATCAGGATGCTGGTATGGGGTATGGCGGTGATCAGGATGCTGGTATGGGGTATGGTGGTGATCAGGATGCTGGTATGAGGTATGGCGGTGATCAGGATGCTGGTATGGGGTATGGTGGTGATCAGGATGCTGATATGGCATATGGCGGTGATCATGGTGCTTACATGGGATATGGCGGTGATCAGGATATTGGTATGGTGTATGGCAGTGCTTTTGTGAGTACTGGGATTGATGATAGGTGCTGCCTGTATTTTTTATGATTACTCTGACAGTGATCAGGGACACAGGAGTGGCTGGCATTGCACAAGTGTACAAGCATTCTGACAGGATACACTCACAGGCTGCAGCATCGGTTCTCATTGTGAACCGATCTTTACTTTCACTTGGTATTGTTTACTATGTAATTGCTGTGATTGGACACAGCAATCAAATGGTAAAATACCATGTGACCACCCGTTCACATTGGTAATGTGAATCGCTGTGCTCCCGGGAAGGCACACCATGAGCCTGGCAGCAGCCTCTGATGTGGACTGACATACAGGTACATAAGCCCATATTGGCACTGCTTCCCATCCACCGTTTATGGGCAGTGGGCAGACGGGAAGCAGTTAAACCCCATCAGCCTGTCCCTTTATGCTTGTGATAGCATTAGCTTTCTGGTTCCCTCTTTGGATTGCCATATGAACTTGTCTGTAGGATGTAAACTGGAGTATTTAGAATTGTTTTTAGACTATGCCTTCTCACTTCCTGCCCTAACCTTGGTCTGTCCCAGGCAGGGGCAGACTGACCATTTGGAAACTCGGGCACTGCCTGAGGGCCCGGGGTCAGTAGGGGGCCCCATGAGATGCCCCTGGTACCTTTTTTCATATGCTTTTTTGAGTTTGGGCAAGGACACAGGGGCCCCATGATCCCCTATTGCCCGGGGGCCCAAGTGCTTGTCTACTTTCTGGACTCTAGGTCCTCTTCCTCTTCTCAGTTGTCCATCCCCAGCACCATCTGGCCAGGAACTATAGCACTGTGATTTAAGACCTGGGGGCAACCAAGTACTAGTAGGTCTGCTTACCTTAAAGTGCAACTCCACTTTTGTTGAGAATAAATAAATACATTTCTCACTGGGTGATCTATGTACATTTCAGGGACTTTAACAACCTTTGTTGCCAATTCCTACCTTTTGTTGTTCTGTAGAAATATCTGTTTGTCTGTGTCAAGGGGGAGAGTGAATCAGTATGGGAGGGATTTTATAATTATCAATCAACTGCTGCACCTGCAGGTCTCTAATGAGAAAAGTGGCAGGGTCTGCATCCTTTTCAACATGATTTCCTATAAGGAGTATCTCACCAAAAATGACATTTTTTTTTCAGGCGATGCCAAAAATCTGACGTGCAGACTTATGGGAAAACTAGTGAGCCAATCACGCAAGCAGGAAATTAGATTTCTGGGGATGTTCTGTACACTAACAGTGTACAAAAAACCCCCCCCCCAGGTTTCCATATTTCATTGAAATTTGTGATGGTTGTAGACAGGGCTGAAAAAAAAACATAGTTCACTATGCTTCAGTTATGAATGAACACAGTGAGTGAATGGTGCCGAACACTCATTGTGTTCATTCAGGAAAGGGGCTGGTAAATGTGACATATTAACTTGACCCTTCCCCCAACTCTCCATCCTGAAGGATACTATTGTGTGCTTGCAGCTAATGGTGGGAAGGAGAGGAGGGAAGCAGGCAGCACTGTGGGGGTGGGGGGCACACGGGGACCTAGGTAGCAGGGAGTAACGTATGGTGCACAGTGAGGTTAATCTCCCTGGCGGTATTCCTGAGTGTAGCTCGGGGTAAAGTTTCAGTACCAAAAGCGGTAACCCCGAGCTACACTCGGAAATACCTTGCAGCGTTGCTCCGGGATCTCTTCTTCACTTACCTTGTCCTGCGCTCCCGTGAGGTCCCTCCTGCAGTGTCCCCGGCAATGTCCTCCAGAGGATGCCGGCATCTGTCTTCTGGGTTCCGTCCCCTGCGACGTCGGGACGTACGGGGGGACGGAACTGGCTGGAAATTTAAAAATGTGAAAAAGTGACATTCACTAAATACACTAAAATCACATAGTATAACATTCCTGTATCAAACCATTTCACATACATTTTGTCCCGAGTGCTTTGTCCGGCGCCCTGCCTGCATTTTTACTGTTCTTTCTGCCTGGAAACTGAGAAAACGTCCATGGTGTCCAAAAAGCGTCCCTTTAGGTCAAAAGCGGTTTTAGACCGGCTAGAGAACAGTGATAGTAAATCAGAACCACTTGCAGAATTGAGTGATAATGATTCGTGGGGGAAATTCCTCATCAGACACTGAAATTGATTTTTTTGCTCAGCGATGTGCGAACTTGGCGCTATATTTCAAATTTCAGTGTTTTCGGTTTGATTATATTATTGAATTAAATGTATTATTATTATTATTATTTTTTATGATTATTTATTAAATTATAATTTATGATTTCGTGTTTCAAATTTTATCCTACCCGGGATGTTTACTAGACTCTTGTTCAGACAGATTTCAGTGCGTTATTCCTAAAATTACAGACCTACAATAAAAAACTACATATTTCCATGCAAAAAAATTTACCGCTTTGAGCACAGAAATACTGACAGAATCAGACCACTAGGAAGCTTACTAGATTTGGGGGGGTCAATTACTGGAACCACTGTATGGCTCTCTCTGCAGCAGCTGAAAATTCAGGAGAAGCTGGCTTTCAGGTGCTATAGATGGAGCCATACAGGGGATTGGTTCCAGTAATTGCCCCCCCCCACCGTGCCGATCACCCTTCCTGCCCACATCAGATTCACCCAGCTGCCTGGGCCCCCCTGCTAGCCTGGGTCCCGTACAGGAGGACTGGTGATACCCCCTTATCCATTGGCTGTAGATAATTAAATATACAAATCACATTTTAGGCATCCCCTGCAAAAGGAATTTAATTTTGATGAGATACTCCCTAGGTGTGAAGTACTTCTAAAGCCTCCTGTACACTGGGCGTTTAGCCTGAGTCCCGGTTCACACCAAATGCGACAATGAAATGGCGCTACTTCACTTAAAGTAGAGCGATTTCAAAGCCACAGACCAATGGCGATTTCATATTCAGCTTGCCTAACATCTGTGTAACTTTATGCACAATGACAAGTTGCAGCGTTGTGAAATGGGGCTTAGTGCTTGAGAGTGATTCCTAAAAAGGAGAGCAAGGTTCATTATAACCACCTGGTGTACTCCCAGTGTTCTAATGAGGAAAGTTGCAGTGTCTGCATCAGGGGCGGACTGACAACAAATGGGGCCCCCGGGCAATAGGGGATCATGGGGCCCCTGTGTCCTTGCCCAAACTCAAAAAAGCCTATGAAAAAGGTACCAGGGGCATCCCATGGGGCCCCCTACTGACCCCGGGCCCTCGGGCAGTGCCCGAGTTTCCAAATGGTCAGTCCGCCCTTGGCTGCAACTGTGGTGATCTGTGACCACCTCCTCCCTGGGCCAACTGATAACCTCCCATGGCTTCCAATACCACCTCTATGCTGATGACACCCGGATCTATCTCTCCACTCCCCAGCTCACCCCCTCAATCTCCTCACGTATCTCAAATCTACTAAGCGATATATCAGCATATCACATCACTACCTTAAACACAATCTTTCAAAAACTGAGCTTGTAATATTTCCTCCTCCCCAATCCCCCACTCACGGACTTTACCATTAAGATCAACAGCACAACCATTGGTCCTTCCCCTCATGCCAGGTTGCTAGGCGTAATCCTAGACTATGACCTTTCCTTTGGGCTCCACATCCATTCACTGGCTAAATCCTGCCGCCTCAACCTCTGGAACATTTCCATAATCCGCCCCTTCCTGACCAATGACACCACAAAACAACTTATCCACGCCTTGGTTATATCCCGCCTCGATTACTGCAACTCCCTCCTCACTGGTCTACCGTTACACAGGCTATCCCCCCTTCAGTCTATTATGAATGCTGCTGCTAGACTCATACTGGATGCAAAAATAGAGAAACAGAAAAAGGGCGCACTGACCTAGTGCATTATCGTTTAAAGATTGTAGCTCTGAGGAAGAGGTTGTGTCCTCGAAACGCGTTAGAGAGTTGGTCATCCAGGGTTCCATTGTATGAACTCAGATGTTGTTTGGATCCTACATCTTGTTCAGTTTGACATGCCTGTGTTTTTATGGTCTATTGTGAGTATGATACTTACTTTGTTTCTTCAATAGATCTTTAAACGATAATGCACTAGGTCGGTGCGCCCTTTTTCTGTTTCTCTATTTGCATCCAGTGTATTTGGACCACCCCGGTCTGTTGAAGGCAGCAAGCAGTGCATATTCCAGAAAATTCCAGAACATTCCTATTTGTTGTGTTGGATTTGCTAAACTCATACACCTTACCAACCGATCAGCAACTGTTGCCCCTCTCTGCCAATCCCTCCACTGGCTTCCACTAACCCAACATATAAAATTCAAAATACTAACCACAGCTTACAAAGCCATCCACAACACTGCCCCTAGCTACATCACCAACCTCATCCACAGATACTGCCCAAATCGCCCACTCCGCTCCTCCCATGATATCCTCCTCTCTAGCTCCCTCATCACCTCCTCCCACGCTCACCTCCAGGACTTTCTCAGAGCCTCTCCCATCCTCTGGAACTCCCTACCACAGCATGTCCGGACAGCCCCCACCCTGTCTGCCTTTAGGCGATCTTTGAAAACTCACTTCTTCGGGGAAGCCTACCCCACCTCCACCTAAGAACGGTGCTTGAATCACCTCCGCCAGATCATCCCCCGCAGCTATCACCTTTTGTGTCACCTCCCCCTTCCTTTAGATTGTAAGCTCCACGGGCAGGGCCCTCCTATTCCTTCTGTACTGAAATGTATTGTAATTGTACTGTCTCCCTTATAATGTAAAGTGCTGCGCAAACTGTTGGCGCTATATAAATCCTGTATAATAATAATAATAATAATAATAATTTACCATCTGCTACTACGGAGACTTAGCCCTTTAGGAACTGACTTTACAGTTAGCTAGTAGGCTTACTTGCTGCCTGCAGGTTTTACTGGGAATGTACTCATGTGCACCACTGGGAAACTGGACCCCAACGCTAGCCGATGAAGAGACAGGACCAAGGACTGCCTTTCCCACAGCTGCCCCACAGAGACCTTTTCCATTGCTTATGTTAAAAATTACCTCTCAGGGGACATTGCACCATATCCTAGCCATTCTCCTAGAATGAACTTTAAACCAGTTATAGTGTTCTTATCCACACTGCAGTTAATGCTTATACTCACTGTTGCTGATTTTTTGCTGATTGTTTGTTGTCGACTTTGCTGATTATTGAG